CTTCAGGTCTGGAACGAACTGCAGAGCTAGCTCGTCATCATTGCGCGTTGGCTTCGCAGGCTCTATCCATCTTTCCGCCCAGCGAGGCCAGAGATGCGCTCGAATCGCTAAATCAGAGCGTGCTCACGAGGGTGAAGTAGACGCTGGGTAGACCAATCATTTGAGCGCGATGCCAGCTGCTAGACGTTTATAGAAAGCTGCGAATGTCACCCGATGCGATGAAACGGAATGTCCCACAATCACAATGCGCATCAATTACTGCCACTTGCAGGAGCCGCGTCAGATGCGTGCGTATGACTCGCAACATCTGTCGGCCTTTGATCGCCAGAGATGGCGGGGCTGGAAGCCTCTGGCTTGCTTGACTTTCGTGCCCCGGCGGCATGCGCTGCCCATTCAAGTGCGAGTTGCGTGTTCACGAAGCTGCGCGTTGCACAGTGTGAGCTAGCTGGGCGACGGTGTGCGTGGTGTACTGGACTACCGGTACGGTGCGGTAAAGCCTCCACATGCACGCCCACGATATGGACCTGGCGCGCGCGCCCTTCGCGGTCCGGTCCTTTGGCAGAACGACGTCGCGCCGTGATTACCTGAGCCCAGCGGAACGCAGCGGGATTGGAGATTGAGCATCGTAGGTTCGACATCTCTTTGCACCACCCTCATCTCTATCCGCCTTGCCCCATTGTCATCACTCTGGTGTGCCATGCTGATTGGACGTTTGGGTGGACCGCGCGCACTTGTACCGCCTTTGAACCACCTGCCACGCTTGCCTCTTCACGCACGAGCTTTTCACCTCGAATCGAGCCGCATCCTCGCTCGACCCACGCTCCGATCAGGCCTCTCGGAACCGAGAAGCAGCGCGAACATCAGCAGAATTAGCAGCGGCATCGGAAGCATGTCTTCGAAAGATGCCAAGGTGCTGAGGAGCAGACCGATGGATGATTCGGAGGCCAAGTGGGTCGGATTAAGAGCTATCGAGTGGGTGGATCAGGAGGGAAGGGAGAGAAAGTGGGAGAGCGCCGATAGGAAGACCAGAAAGGGAGAGGTGGATGGTGAGTCCGAGATTGCGGTTGCGATTGCGATGAGGGTGCAGTGTTGCCCCCTTGAGCAGCGCATACATTGAAGTCCTTCTTCGCCCGCGCATGAGCTGACCCCCCAGCGCTCCTGCTTTGTGGTTCATCACATCCTAGCCGTAGCCATATGCGCCATCATTCATCGTCCCTCTTCCGAAACTCATGTCCTTTTGATCTCGCAGTTCAGACCGCCCGTTGCAGCTTCGGTCATCGAAATGCCAGCAGGTCTGGTAGATGCTGGTGAAGAGGGCGATGAAGGAGCTCAGAAAGCTGCTCTTAGGGAGTTGGAGGAGGAGACGGGATACGGCACCACGAAGCAAGGCGGATCGGTCGATGTGGTAGAGACCAGCACCATCATGGTCAATGATCCCGTGAGTAACCTTGGACTCCCCTGCAGCTCAGTCGATACGAGAAACTGCATTCTTGCTCGGCGTTGAGTCGGACGAGCTGAAAAATTGCTCTTATCATCATCCGATTAGGGGCTCTCTGGCGCGAACATGAAGCTGTGCGTTGTGCGCATACATCTGTCGGACGATTCGGAAGAGCCGGTAGCCAAGCCAGAAGAAGGCGAATTCATCGAAAAGCATCTCGTCCCAGTCAAGGGCCTCTACAAGACGCTCAAAGGTGAGTCAGAATTGCCAAACGCGGCACGAGTTGCTTGCCGCAAAGTGGAGAACTGCACATTCACAGGGCTGACTCAAGGGCCGGCTGCACTCCGTACGTCTGGCAGACTTCCAAGCCAAGGGCTTCGCGGTCGATGCTAGACTAGCTCACCTTGCTGTGGGTCTGGAGTTGGGTCTGGGTGGACTGGTAAAGGGTAGCAAGATTTGATTCCTCCTTCGCAGATGCGCTTCGACGTGCAGAGGGCGGCGGTGCCGATCGTTTGCAGCTTGTGTATTCGAAAGCAAGTCTGAAAGACGCACAATGCGCGTACAATGGAAATGCAAGTGTAGAACAACAAAGGCGATCAAGAGTTGGGGGCCGATCAAGGGGTATCGTCACAATCTAGCTTTAGTACCCGTCTTGCCTTTGGGGCGTTCTGCTGCGGCCTTTGCGCGGACAAGGCGCTCCTCGCGCCTGAGAGCATCGCAGTCCCTCGCATTCGTCTCGTCCCACGTTCGCAAGTCGCCCAAAGCAGGATCCACTGTGCTGAGACCTTCGAGGGCGTATTTGAGAAAGACTTGCCAGATGCTGTCTTCCCTTCCCAGCAGCTCCATAGGTTCCGAAGCAGCATCCGCGTCTGCGCCTTCTCCTCTCGCCACCTCCTCGGGCAATTCCTTGGGCTCATAAGCTTCTCCTCCCCTCACTGCTCTCTCTGCACCATCATCGTCGTCGTCGTCGTCGTCTTCCTCCTCTACGCTGCTTTTGCCCATGTCACTGCTGCTGCTGCCCTCTCCGCTGCTGTCTGCTTTGCCTGTGATCACACTTCGAGGACTGCCCGTCTTGTTTGGCAATCGAGGACCTGATGGTCTGAAACACGTCACGTGGCCGCACTTTGGCCAGCCTTTGAGCTTGGGCGGGTCGATGAACAGCGTCTTTGTCCTGGAACCCTTGCCGCAGAGCAAAGAGGCGTGCTGATGCATCATGTGTCTGAAGACGACGGCGTGGCAGGTGGCAGCCATGAGCGACTATGCAACGACTGGCTACACGCACGTTGAGGATGCAAGACGCTGATCGCGACTACGACTACGACTACGACTACGACTGCCACTGCCACTGCCACTGCCACTGCTCACCTTGAAATCGTCTCGTCGTCGCTGAAGGAAAAGTAGATCCAATCGAACATGCGCACATTTTCCTTTGCCCTCTGCTCATCCTCTGGCACGTGCAACGAGAAGAGGGGATGCGCTGATGAACCGTGGCGGTGCAAAAGAAAGGGCAGCAAGCAGCAATGCGAGCGTCAGTCAGATCTGCAGCTGAGGAGTGACTCGCGAGGTGCAAGAAATCGAGCCCCCAACCGACCGACTCACTGAACCAGTCGATCCAGTCCTTGCCTGGTCCGTAGGGAATGTCGTATCCCAGACCCAAGCTGCTGGATCTGAACAGCCGATCAGTCTCGATGGGCTTGATGATCACCTCATTGAAACCGAACAGCGACTCTTCTGGCTCGGCGTGGTTTCGCCAGTGCGCATTGCCGCCATTGACATCGGCGAAGCGAATGGGGACGCCAAAGGATTGCAGCATGCGAGGTTCCAGGACGCTTGTTTGGAGGAGAGAGAGAGAGGGAGAGGGAGAGACGGTCCGCGAGGGCGGGTGAGTTGAAGCACGCGGCGTATGAGCTTCGCCGGTCCACAACGCACTCAGGACCGCTCGGACCGCGAGGGGAGGCTGCGTGCATGGCCTGACACTCACGTCATCAGGTGGCCGCCCAGACTGTTGCCAAAGAAGCACATTGGCGCCCGAGGATGAGCGTCGTGGGCAAATCTAGCCACAGCAGCCAAATCCTCTCTTCCCCACGTCCTGATCAATCCGATCTCATCCGGCGCCGACCTGATGGCCTGTTCGAACACTTGCGCATACTCCTCCTCATCCTCTGCCCCTTCCAACTTGTCCAACCACTGCTTTGGGAAAGAGTTGCCGCTGTACCTAAAGTCGAACGTGAAGGCGCACAGCCCCTGCATGGCCAGCCAACAGGCGAAGTCGTGGTAGAACCTCGCTTGCACTCCCGTCGCATTCACCATCACCACCACCGCCCTCACTTCCTGTCCATCCGTCTGGCCCACCGCGCTTGATCCTGGCGGAGGCTCGAAGCGATGAGCGGCTAATGGAAAGTCGTCCGCTGCAGGCACCACCACAGCTTGTGGCACGACGCCAAAGGCGTTCATTCTGCCCTTTAAGGAGGATTCCGACATTGTGGGAGGGGTGATCGCGTGAGTAGGGGGCTCGGAAGGCGATCTGGCAGAATGAAGCGGTGAAGGTGGGGAAGGGAAGGGGGAGGAGGAAGAGGGGCGGGTTGGCCGCGTACCGATTGCTGATCGCGTTGCTACGTTCTTCTAAGGTCACAAAGCGCGGCGTGATCAAAGGGGTGAATGGGAGATACCAGCGCGGTGCGAGTCGCGAGTCGCAGTCAATCACGAGTTGCATCGTGAGTGCAAGCGCAAGTTCAACATTCACGATTCAACATTCAGTGATTGTGATACACGATTCGTTGCAGCGATGAATTCCGATATCGTATCGCCTCCGCTTTCTCCGCATCGCGACCCCATATCGCTTAATTGGCGTCGCTCGGCTCAGAGAAGGCCCGATCGTGAATCGATGATGATCACAATAAGCAATAAGTTGACCAGCATCAAGGTGCAAGGCTCAGAACGCAACGTTTCAATCACAGATTTGAATACAAGCGAGCTCGGCTCCGCACGTCGTTTTGAATCCCGGTGCCGGCGCGCGCGTGCAATGCAGTCACGTGAACCACCCCAAATCACAACTCTGCTGAATGGTGCATTCAAGATTCGTGACTTTCGTGAGTTCAGGACAGACCCACGAAACAGGGCTTGCGCAAAGGAAGCGGCGTCAAAGTGTAGCGCGGAGATACGGACTCGCGAATCACGGCGATCTCGGTCTAGCGACACAGCTAATGGTGCAATATCGACCAGTCGCTGGAGCCCGTCCCAGGACCGCTCATATCCTCCTCGCGCCTTTCCGAACTGGCTTCGAGCACCGGTGAACAGCGGTGCCTTTGCGGAAGCCTGGCAAATGTCATCCGATGCTCGCGCACAGCTATAATCGAACAAGAAGCTCGGCTTCCCTTTCTTAGTCAGACCGTGCGCTCAACTTGGTCTGAAAGAAGGAAAAGCAGGAAATTCCGACGTGGAGGTAGTCGACTCGAGGTGATGCTCATGAACTTTTCGTCCGAACGGCCTCGTTGTGCTGCTCAGCATCGGGCTGAAAGGTTCGTGCTGGTCGCGAGGTGTCGTGACTGGCTTGCTGCCCAGGCGCAGCTCCAGGTCTGGACCATTGTCCGCCGACCCTTCCATCGGTATTGCCGGACGAGTCCCGCTGCTCCGGAAACGCGCTACGCCGGTCCTAAAAGAACCAAGGCGGAGTCTCGTATCGATTCGAGGAAGCCCCTCCGGTCTTTGGCGTGACGGTGTAGATGGATCTTTCAGTGGCTCGTTGTGCCTTCGAGTCGTAGGGGTCACGTTTGAAGCATGATCCTTGTTGCTAGATTTGAGGCCCGGTCCACTGCTACCACCCAAAAGCCTCTCGGGAATTGTCGAGACTCTATTGGCGCCATCGATCTGATCGGGTGCTGTAGCGGCACCTGTTCTTTGCCGCTTGCCCTGGCCCTCAGGGATTTCTCGCTCGAGCGACGCGTCCTTGCTGCCGGCCTTATAAGCTTCATTTGGCGCCGTACGGTGGTTTCGGCTCGGTTGACGGATGTTCGACAGTCGTCCGTAGTAATCGTTCTGGTGTAGGTAGGCCACCGAGCCTGTGTCGTGGAATGTCTGAGGAGACACCTCGGCCTGCCTGCTAGACTCCGGCTGATCAGCGCTCCTCGGCATCGACTGGTCCCTCTTTTGGCCTTCAGTATGAGAGCCTTCAGCTAAAGATGCAGTGATGGGCCGGCGATGGGGGCGCCCGAGGTCTCCAAGCGGTTTGCGCCAGTCAGCTGGCTCACGATTGCCAGAGTATTGTTTGGTCCTGTCGATCACTCGTCCGAATCTCGCCCTGGAATCCTGCTTGTAGTGCTTCGAGTCTCGCGGATGCTCGGGTAGTAGCGAGCCGTGCGCATCCATGAGTGTCGTGTCAACAGTATCGACAGGATAAGGACGCAAGCCATGAAGATACACCTTCCGCGCTTCTTTTAGAGGTCCGTGGGGTTGAAATTGAGCTCCGTCTGGCCGAAAGAGCGTCAATCTACTTTGGCGACCGCCGCTTATGAACGAGGCATGATCGGGAAGAGGGACAATGTGAGTCGTCTCATGTCCCTTCACTACGCCCGAAGGCACAAGCCTGTTCTCCTTAGTCCATGCAGTCGCAGTGAGGAAAGTGCGGTCAGATATTTCATTTGGAGGCCGGAATCCGGTTTGAACCTGAAAGGCAATCTGGTCAGCATCACTGTGCTGCACCACGCCGCACCGCTCACAAACTCACAATCATCCTATGCACAACGTGATCTTTATCTTTTTCAAGGTAAGCATTGATAGCTTTCACTGCAGCTCTTTGGTGCGTTCCGTTCTTTATTACTTCGAGCTGTATTATAGTTCGCTTCTTCAGCATCCGTTTCCTGACAGCACTGCTGATGTCCAAGGACCTGAGCTGAAGTCGAGCAGCGTCCAAGCCCGTTCGAGACACGTTGGACGCTCTTCGTTCTCTGGTTGCGCCGCTCGGAAACGTATTCGAAGAGGGCTCAGGTGAGATGTGATACGGAGCAGAGTGTGTCGAGCTTGAGCTGAAAACTCCAAATGTTTCCAGCGACGCTTGTCGTGGCGGAATCCAGCTGGAGCGATGCACCGTGATACGAGGCCGCTTTGCAGCGCGAAGCGATTCTTGTTGCGAGCTAGGCGTACGGAAAGCGGAATGTAGCCTGGACTCGCCATCGAGCGAAGCAATGTCCTGTTTGCGCTCATGAGCTCCTGCCTCTGGCAGCCCATGCACGTCATGCTCGCTAGCAGGATTGTGAATCTTCTGGGTAAACAATGTGCTGTGACTCTGCGAATGGGTGTGGCCGATCCGTGTGGGTGACACTGTGCCATCCTGCGAGCCACTGCCTGCACGGCCGGGCGCTGGCTGACGAGAGCCATCACCTGCCAAGAGTGTCGCGTATGCCCTCAGATGGTCAACATCCATGTCGTTCGAGCCGGCAGGTGACGTAATTCGGCTTCGTCGACGCGTGACCTGAGCGCAACGGGAGCCTTGTGGTCAGCAAGTGGACGCATCTTCCAAGGAACAGCAAGACTCACATCTGTGCCGCGCACGGCTTCGGCAAAGACACGAAGTTGCTTCGCCAGGCTTTCATCGACTCTAGGCCCTCCTGCCGGTCTTTCTGGGATGGTGGGCCACGCATTCGCGTGATCATCATTCCAGACGTAGGATTCAGCGTTTGGCGTGTGTTTGCTATCAAGATGATTAGGCAACGACCTCAGGAGCTGATGAACGTGAAGATGCGGAGGCTATCAGTATACATTTGTGCGCCTTGCCGAAACAGGCCCGCAATTCGCGCTTGCTCACCTCGACTTTCTTCACATTGCGGCCGGTTTCCCCTTGCAAATGTTCCATCAGCGAAGCTTCGTTGGCAGAGAGGATCCCTCTACGAAAGACGATGCCTTGCTCATGGAAAGACAAAGGCAGGGCTCCCCTCTGGAAGCTGGTGCCTCGCTCACGCAAGCGATGTGTTACATGGCTGAGCATGCGCGGATGCGCAAAGCCGTGGATTAGGAGGCATGCGAGAAGGACAGAGGCGATGCACAGCAAAGCCAGACTTTTGATGGTGTGGTTCATTTCACTTGCGGTCGCCAGTCCGTCCGCTTTCAAGCGGAGCAGAAGAGCAGCGCGGCGAAATGGAGCGGCTCGAAAAGCCAGTACCCGTCAGGGCAGCTTGTGGAAGCGAAAATAAAAGAGGTTTCTGTGCCGCCGGCGGCGATCAAGGGGTGAGGTTCACGCTTTCGAGGACCTTTAGAAGCGACTTGATATAGGTGAGGTGCCAAGGAAGTGACTGCTCCCACCTGCGGGCGAGAAGCTGAGACCATCAGTGCGACTTTGACCAAGCCAAAGCGAGGATACGAGACCGTTTGACAGTAAGGGCACTTAGTGGTGGCGAATCCTGCCACCAGCTTTGCGGATTCTGTCGCCACCCAGGGCATGAGTGCACGCCCAGTAGCCTGTACCTTCGGGAGCAAATTCGGCCTTGGAAAGCGCCCGAGCCGCACTTTGCGCTCAACGGAGCATCATCAATCTGCGCTTAAGCCACCCCTGTGTCTCCGATCCATTTCCGAGGAGCGGCTCCAGTTTCTATGGGTTGTCTCAGGCCACACAAGCACGTCCTAGCTAGGCGTCCGGACTCTCAATTCGCCACTCACTGTACGTCTATTCGCTTTTTGGTGTGAGGTCTTTAGGGCAATGACATGTGATTTATCTATGTGCCGGCGCAGAAGGCGAGCATCGGTACGGAGGCATCTCAGTGGGAGACGACTTTCTGAGTCGTGCGCATCGCCTGACATTGTGGGAATCTGAATCAGATTTATGGAACACGGTGGCCGTCGTGGTCGCGAAACTGCCAGAAGCAAATGTCCAGATGGGAATGACGTGGAGAAGAGAAAATTTTCGGATGTCCAGGACGCAATTACATACGCAAGAAGCGAGGCCACATGCCCCCGCTCTTTCGACCACCTTCTCGGCCCTCTGCTCCATCGTCCTGTCCAGCTTCGGGCTGTTCCGGACCCTGCTCAGCGTCTCTCAGGCGACTTCTCCGGGGAGAGCTGGTAGACTGTTCCGGAAATGACGCTTCCAGAGGGCCCCATTCTGGTAGGACAGGCCGCGTGCCAGCAGCTGTTTCTGATTGGCCCGGTGGGAAGGCCTCGGCTCGTGAACGTTCGAGATGAGCAGCGGCTTCGGCAGCACGCATGCTCGCCGACGCCACACGTGGGGATTCGCGCCATGACAATGAACCGGTCTGACCTATAGCGGCCCCTCCCTGCAGGGCTTGCAAAGTTGGTGACGAAGTGGTGGTGGTAAGCGTGGGTTGGGCCGCTGGAGACGCGCCGGGCATCAAGCTGCGCGGCGGTGCCCGCGGGGTGCGGCCCATGTCAGAAGATGACTGCGGCGAATGTGAGGTTCCGCCTTGTTGTTGCTGCTGCTGTTGGTCGAGCTCACGCTGCGCCTGACGCATAGCCGCTGCCCCCAGCGATGAGCTAGGGTAGTGCCCATACAGATCTTGGTACGGGCCAACGCTCGAGATGCTGTCTCGCTCTTCAGCTGCCCCGACCTCTCGCACGCTGTCAAGTCGGCGTAGACCTTCTTCTCCTTCGCCACCATCCCAGCTTCCGCTACGACGTCGCTTTCTTTCCCCACTGCCACTACCGCTGCCGCTGCCGCTCAGTGCTCCGGAAGCCGGCAGCACGCTGCTTCCGCCGCCAGCCGTTGCACGACTACTTTGCCCGTCACTCGCGTATTCTTGCGAGTCAGGACCGACAGATGGGGAGCGCGCGTAGTCTGTCTCTGTTCGGCGAGAGTTCGCTCTGCTAGCCCCGCCGCTGGACATTGTCCCGCCTCGGGTGCTGATAGTGCTTCCACGCGCCAAATGACTTGGACTGTAGCTCGCAGCGCCGGTACTTCCGCTGCCTTCGCTTAGCCCGGTGCGGCGACTGCTGCTTCCTCCGCTGCGGCTGCCACTACGACTAGAGTCCGGCTCGCTCGACGTCACGTGCGTGCGGTTGCTCAGACTGTCGATGCCCGTGCTTGTGGTCATGGCAGAACGTCTTGAGCCTGCAGGTCCTGTGCGACTTCTGGACGAGTTGGTCTGGCCTGATGTGTCCGAAATACTAGCACTGTAGCCACCTGCAGAGCGCTGACTTGAGTGCAGACTCGGCGCACTGGCAATCGCAGTTTCGAGTGGCAGCGTCGGCTCTTGCTCAGTAGCCGAAGGCTGACCGTTGCGTGAATCGGACGTACCACCAGAGCCGCTGGATGCTTCGCGAGAATTGGAGACGGTTTGGGGTGACGAGCCTTGCCCGCTGTTCTGACCGTGTCCCAGCGTACTGGCGCGATGGACACTTGCGCGAAGGCTGTGCACGTCTGCCGCCAGACCCGGGTCAGAAGTCTGGGCAGGTTCATGTCGAGCGCCATGGCGCTGCGGCGATGCCGGGGAGAAGTCTGGGTCGTGGTTCGGCGTCTCGCGCTCGGCGCTTGAAGGTGGTGCTGTGTTGCCCATGGTCAGACGACGCCAGCCGGCTGCCAGACCTCCAAAGATTCCACCGGTAGCTGCCGCACTTGCATACGGGTCGGGCGCATCGCTTGCTGGCTCCCCTGATTCTGGCCTGATCGCACGCGTGTCCTCGAAAGGGTTCTCGGAATCGTCGATTTCGTCGTCTGTCTCTCGTGTCCAGCCAGAAGGTCCTCCAAGTCTGCTCGGCGCACCTCCGGTGGAACCTAAGCTTCGCATGCTTCTGGGTTGACCGAGAGTACCTCGTGGTGAGCCAGGGGGAGTGTAAAAGCTAGCAGCTCCACCCGCTGTTCCCAAAGCAGCGCCAGCCTCTTCAGACGGGGCATTTTGTTGACTACTCTGACCTCGCGAACCGAACTGGGACGCGCTGCCTCCGCTACCAGAGCCTGATGCCAAAGAGTGAAGAGCCGATCCACCGCCAGCACTGCCTTCTCCAAATTCGCCAACGGAACGGATGGTGGATAGACGTCCATGAGCGCCATATCCAGCAGCGGGAGGAGCGTAAGGTGACAAATGCGCGGTGCTTTGCGAGGATGATCCACTTGCATCAGTCTGAGCGCCACTTGCTCCTGGGCCTAGCAGAGGTGTGTTATGGCTGATGAAGCGGCTATGACGATCTGCCTCGTCCCGAGTCGCGGCGACTTCTGCCGAATTGCGCTCGGGGTAAGCACCACGGGAGTAGGTGCTGCCCCCGCTATCCCTGTGTCCAGCAGCAAGAGCGCCTAGGCCAGCGCCGGCTGCTACAGCACCGAGTAGCGCTGGGGCACGTGTTGCACCTTCAGCGTCGCTCTTCAGCTGCTCCGCGCCCGTCATTCCCAGATCGCCTTCGCCAAATCCTGCATGGAAAGATGGGATGCGTGGCTTCCCCTCGACATCTCCCTCAGACCCGGCGGTGATGGCTCCAGCCGCCGCTCCAGGAGCAAGATTGCCATATGTCGTGACGCCGGGTCGCTCTCTAGGAGCGCGCGGGGGAGGTGGCAAACTCGTTACGGTGGAGGGTGAGCCCTGGACGGTGCGCGTTCCGGTCGAATTGCTGCTGGTGCCACCGCCACCTCCCCGCGAGCTTGGGGTGCCTCTGGATCGTGAGCCGCTGCCACTGTTGTTGCTGCTCGAGTGATTGCCGGACTGCGAGCCGGATGTGTAGCCACCTCCGCCATAACTGTCCGAATTACGACGGTGCGTGTTGCCAGCCGATGTGGCACCTGCACCTGCCCCTGCAAGTCCCGCCGCGGCATACTGAGCTGATGGCGTACCCCACAGGTTACCACCGCTTCCAGAAGTGGATCCGGCGGAGAGGCTCGACGTCATCCCCTTGCGGACGTTTGTTGGACTTCCGACATCTTGGCCACTCTCGTCGTATTGAGGGTCCATCAGGCCTTGCTTCTCTGGGTCGGACTTAGGATCGCCACCTCGCCCACGGCTTGCCGCGGCCGCCGCAGCGAGCCCTCCAGCACCTGCACCGAGGACGCCAGCGTTGGATGCCCAATCCGAGTCCTGCGTCATGTCCCCTTCGCCGTCGCCTTCGCCCCACGCGGCGCCGCCACGACCAACTTGAGACATGTCACGCTCTGCGGGTGGCACATTTGCGTAGTCCATCAGCCCCCGCCTCTCCTCTCCCGCGCCATGAGCGTCAACATCATCGTCGGAGGTCGCACCGCCAGACACCTTCTCGTTGTACTGCTTATCCTTGTTGCTGGATCGCCTTCTGCCCAACGCCGCTGCTACAAAACCTCCGGCAGCGCCCAGACCGAGAGCGCCGAGCGCTCCACGTTTGCCGCCACCTACACCAGTGCTTCGTCCGCCGTCTCCGTCGCTGAAAGGATCACTGCCGATAACGGGAGCGTCGGAAGGAATTTGACCTCCGTCGCGGCCACCAACGACGAAGAACCCGCTGCCATTCCCACCATTAAGCTGATCTTCCTCCCATTCATCACTTGCCAGGCTGCCACGTCCACCGCGTCCGGCAGCAGCAGCGCCCGCAGCGGCGCCAGCACCAGCGACGCCGATGGCCGCGTACGTGCCCAGTCTTCGACTGCCGCCTCTGGAGAATCCAGCCGAGTACTTGTCGCTGAATCTGCGAATGGGACCTCCTCCTGCAGTTGCGCCTCCCACGCCAGCTTCCGCACCGCGGTCTCTATTGCGCCTGCGACACAGAAGGAAGAGGAGCAAGAGTAGCAGAAGCAGTCCAAAGAAGGCGCCGATGACGATGCCTGCAATTTGACCACCAGAAAGTCCAGATCCGCCACCATTTGGAGGCATACCTGCGATAGTGCCGGTAGGCTGCGGTCGTGTGGTCTGAGACGACTGTGATGCGCTCGAAGCGGAAGCACTGGAAGCGGATGCGCTTGAGGCTGATGCGGATGAAGCCGAGGCAGCGCTGGACGCCGAAGCACTGGAGACGGATGCGCTGGACGCTGATGCGCTGGATGCAGAAGCACTCGACAGCGAGGAAAGAGAAGAAGCGGCTGCAGAATCGGTCGGTTGCGGAAGCGGCGCAGAGGTGGCCGTATTCGTGGCTGCGGTGTTCGTCGCTGTTGGATTCGCGGTTTGCGTTGGAGCAGCCGATGTAGCTGTGTTGGTCGGGATAGGTATGACGGTACCGGATCCTCCTTCGGTGCCCGTTGCGCCTTGAGATTCAGAGGGGTTGGTAGTCGGCGCCGCGCTAGGCGCGGTTGGTGTACCTGTGGGTACATCGTTACTGGATGACACCGTGCCAGTGGGTTGTGGTGCAGATTCGCTAGGTGCAGAAGTTGGAGCCGTTACCTGCTGAGTTGAGCTGCTTGGCAATTCCTGGCCTGGTAGGGTGTAGAGCGTGCCCAAGGGCGGAGGCGGAAGCGGACCGGTATAGAGCAGAGGCCGCTGAACCACTGAATAGCCGATGCTTGTCGTCTCACCCACATTCACCTCGACCGTCTGCGTGGGAGGAGCGCTGCCATCCGGATAGTAGATGATGCGTGTGACAGTCTCGGTGAAGGGACCGACAATGGTGGTGTACGCTTGGTAGGAAAGCCAGGAAGGCAAAGGCTGCGCTGTCGGTCCAGGCCCCGGCTCCTGCGTCGGTAGAAAGGCAGCCATTTCGTAGCCCAGAGCCGTTGGCACCTATCAGAAAGCAGGAGCAAGATCAGCGAAATGGACAAGTAGGCGCACTGGAGGTATCCACCTCTCACCTACCAAGCGCTCCCGACAGGGCTTGCGGGTGTCACTTTGTGAGTCGTGTCTCGTATCGCGTCGCGTCAAATGGTATTCGTAAGTAGGCGTGAATGGCTCGTCGGAGTCGAACGT